AATGTGTAAAAACTTTGTGGGAACGACAATCTGTTGTTAATGGTTCGGTGTGGTAAGAGCCCTTCCAATAGAAATCTTCCTAATTTTGAAGATGACAGCTTAGAGGCAAAAAGATCAAGCCACTGTTCTTTAAGGTAGCATGTCCTCATTTTCCTCTTTTCTGTACTTTAAGAACTCTTGAGGTGTCATTTGGTAGCTAAGCTTTCCATGAGGAGGAATGAGTTCTTCCAACAAGTTGTAGCGATAGCGTTGAACACTATATTATAGTTGTCCAGTCCCCTACCATACCGTGCTAGTCTAATGGGGCTTTTCCCGACGTACTATCATCATCTTCCCGCCATCTTTTCTTGGATACTTCGGAGAAAGATGGCGGCTCTTTTCAGTGTTTAATTGTGACCTTCTTGTCACTAATTTATTAACTATTGTATTAAACTTATTAACCAATATTCTTCACTTCAAGTTTCAAACAATTAGGTTTTTGTTTAATTATTAATAAAATTTAATATATTTTTTTTACAAAATTTGCAATACTTTCCACCATATCTGTCTTAATAATTATGTGCATTTTTTTTTTTTTGCATAAAACAAAAGTGTTTTTACAATTATTTCGTTTTTATTTTTTTTTATAAATTTTGTTTAAATAATCAAAAGAGCTTGCATTTGTTTAATCAATAATCGGCGCTTAGTATTTTTTTCTTTCTTTTAAAAATGTATAAAAAATATGCTGATTTTTTATGTTAATTTTAAAAGTGTTTTTGTTGAGTAGGAAAATTTTCAATAAAATAACTATAAAATGTAGTGTATTATAGGTTTTAAATAGTTTTGGTAACAGGTGGATAAAAATTTTAAAAACTAGGAAGTTGTTGTTGATTTTTAATTTAATTTTAAGAAAATTTAATTAAAATTAACTTTTCGCTCTTAATTTTGATTATTTCTTCTCTTTATAACGCCATATAGCAAAGAGAGGAGAAATATTTAAGACACAATGAACACTTAAGCATTTTGAGTTAATAGTTCTAACACCCAATTTACATGATGATTTTTTTCATGTTTGCCCAGACGTCTGTTTTCATGTTTGTCGATGATTGGTGATGAGCGGGGTAGAGAAGAATGGGGGGTAAGAAAACAAACATGATTTGGGATTTTCATGATTGTTTTTGACATTCCGCTTTAAACTCATTCGTACTGTTGATATTATGCTCATGTAAAAAATAATTATGTCTTTTTTTTACATGAAAACATTAAAATTTGCATTAAAAAAATACTGTAGCGTGTTATTAAATTTTTTTAAATCAAATTAAATGGTTTTTATGTTAAAAATTTAATTTTGTTTTTATTACGAATAAGTAATTAAAAAGGATTATACAATTAAACATCAAAAAAAAGACATGCATAGTTGCATGTAAAAAATCACCGTATAAATGTTCATGATTTTTTGGAAGATTCTCAAAAGAGAATTGGAAAAAACAGACGTCTGAAAAGTCTTCATGTAAATTGCGCCTAAGTCTAAAAAGTTTATGATTTATACATTTTATTTCCTAAATTACTTAATAATGTTTCGAAAATTCGTTGTTTATGTGTTTTATTTTATTATGTTTTTTGTGGCACAGTGCGCCTAGATTTTTTTTATTTATTTAATTTAAAAGTTTTTGCAAATTCAGAATTTTTTTGTGCTACTTTTTCCAGCAACATTTTTTTGCTGAATTTTTAATTTTTTTTATTTCCTATGGAGAAGAAAAAAAAAAAACTGATAAAAATATCAAAAATACACTAACAAAAAAATTGTATATACAATTTTTACGCATAATTGCAAAAATGTTAATTTTGTGATGATTAAGCTTTATTTATTAAAAAAAATTTTTATGAATGAATTTAAAATTCAAACTTTTATTAAAATTAACTTTTATTTTATTTTCATTTTTAGGTTTTTAAACATTTTTTTTCAATAAACACAACAGTTGATAAACAAAACTCTTGCAACAGCAACGTGTTTGGTAATTAAAATTCCAGCATTAAATTTAAAAGCTGTTACCACCAACCAACCAACCACCCTTGCTCCAACTCTCTTAAAAAAAAGACTTCCCCCCTTTTCACAATTTTAAATTATTCATTTGTGCTTTTAACGCATATTAATGGCTGATATTTCAGCCCTTACAGCGGCAGCAGCAACAACTGTTTATCCTTCATTAACAACGTCAGCCAACGATTATTTACATCGCTCCACCATTGATCAATTACGTTCGATGAATGAACGTGGCGTTCTCTCGTCGCTGAGTCATTTGACCACAGCCGATTTACGAACCGCACAATTAGTGCACGAATACAATAAACCGTTTAATATCAATGAGTTTCGTCAGAATGTTGAGCGTTTGGATTATTCGTTGAAGAACGGTTTGGTGGGTGTTAATTTGCAGCAGCAACAACAACAGCAACAATTGGTTGTTGAACATCAACAGCAGCAGCAGCAACAACAACAGCAGGCCCACGATCAACAAGCAGCAACATCATCAGCAACAGCAGCAACAACAACAGCAACTGAAACAATCCTATAGTCCACCAAATTCACCGCAAACACCGAATATGGCGGAACAACCCGAACAGAAGGTGAGTTGCTTTACTTATATTTTTTTAAAAAAAGTAGTAAAAATACTACCTTTTTATTTTCAGTATAATTTGATCAAATTTGTGTAATTTACACATCTTTTGGCGAATTTAACTGTTCTTGTCAAATTTTGGCGGAAATTTAAAAAAGTAGTAGAAATAGTACTTTTTGAAAAAGTAGCAAAATGTACAGAGAGATGTTTCCAGAACAAATTAACTATTTATTTATGTGTTTTCTTGTGTTTTAATAAGTTTATAAAAAAGTACTACAAATACTACATTTTTATTTTCAGCCAAAAATTGATACAATTTGAATTTTGTGCTTAATTGTAGAAGAATTTAAACGTTTTAAAAGTTCTAGCCAACATTTTGGAGGAAATTAAAAAACATGTAGTAGAAATAGTACTTTTTGAAAAAGTAGCAAGATATACAGAAACATGTTTCTAGAACAAATGAGCTATTTGCCATGAATTTTCTTGAGTTTTATTAGTTTTACAAAAGTAGTAGAAATACTACCTTTTTATTTTAAACGAAATTTGTTAATAGTTTTGTATTTTTTACATCTTTTAGAAAATTTAAAAAAGTAGTAGTAGCAAAATGTACAGAGAGACGTTTCTAGAACAAATTAACTACTTCCCATGTATTTTCTTGAGTTTTAATTAGTTTTTAAAAAGTAGTAGAAAAAAGGTACTATTTTTTACTTTTAGTGCAATATTTTAACATTTTTGTATTTTATACATCTTTTGACGAAATTTAAACTTTTTAAAAGTTTTAACTAATTTTAGGGGAAAATTTAAAAAAGTAGTAGAAATAGTACTTTTTGAAAAAGTAGCAAAATGTACAGAAACATGTTTCTAGAACAAATTAGCTACTTCCCATGTATTTTCTTGAGTTTTAATTAGTTTTTAAAAATGTTGTAGAAATACTACCTTTTTATTTTTAACGAAATTTGTTAATATTTTTGTATTTTTTGCATCTTTTGATGAAATTTAAACGTTTTAAAATTTTTAGCTAAATGTTGAGGGAAATTTAAAAAAGTAGTAGAAAATCGTACTTTTTGAAAAAGTAGTGCTCGGAAAGGAAATTTTAAAACAAATTAATTATTTCTTCATATAACTTGTTGAGTTTAAACAAGTCTTAAAATAGTAGTAGAAATACTACGTTTTTATTTTCAGCCAAAATGGATAATATTTTAATATTTTGCACTATTTTAGAGGAAATTAAACGTTTTGAAGGTTCTAATGAATTTTGATGAAAATTTAAAAAAGTAGTAAAAATAGTACTTTTTGAACTAGTAGCAAAATGTACAGAGAGAAATGTTTGTAAAACAGAGAGAAATGTGTCTAAAACAAATGAACTATTTCCCCATGTTTTTTCTTAAGTTTTTATTAGCCTTTTAAAAAGTAGTAGAACTACTACCTTTTTATTTTCAGTCAAAATTGATAAAATTTTATTTTTTTACACCATTATAAACGAAATTAAACTTTTTGAAAGTTCTAGTAAATTTTGGTGGAAATGTAAAAAAGTAGTAGAAATAGTACTTTTTTTTTAAAAGGTAGAAACATGTAAAATTATTATTTTAGATAAATTAAATATTTCTATATGTATTTTTTTGATTTTTATAGAATTTTTAAAAAAGTAGTAAACTTTTTTATTTTGAGTTAAATTGGGGAAAATTGTTAATTTTTCGTTTTTATTGAAACAATAAAAATTTGAAACGTTTTAACAAGTCAATTTCAAAAAGTAGTAGAAATACTACTTTTTATATATTTCACAAATTTAAAGAAAAAAATTTAATATTTTATTTATTACAAAAGAAAAATAAAATTTTTTTAATAATATTCCTTTTTTAATTTCCAGTACGATCCGAATGCCAGTGTTGAACATCATCATCAGCAGCAAAAATCCCATCGTTCACATCATCATACCTCGCCGGATGGACGTGAAACTAAACCCTATAAATGCACTCAATGCACAAAATCGTTCGCCAATTCATCGTACCTCTCCCAGCATACACGCATTCACTTGGGCATCAAACCGTACCGCTGCGAAATATGCCAACGTAAATTCACCCAATTGTCACATCTGCAACAGCACATACGCACGCATACGGGCGATAAACCGTACAAGTGTCGTCATGCCGGTTGTCCGAAGGCCTTCTCACAACTCTCCAATCTACAGTCGCATTCGCGGTGCCATCAAACGGACAAACCGTTCAAATGTAATTCTTGCTACAAATGCTTTACCGACGAGATGACTCTGCTCGAGCACATACCAAAACACAAAGATTCGAAACACTTGAAGACACACATTTGCAATTTGTGTGGCAAATCGTATACACAGGAAACATATCTGGAGAAACACTTGCAGAAACATGCCGAAAAGGCGGAAAAACAACAGCAAAGACATGCCAATCTCAATGTACAGCATCATGTGCCGGCCGGCGGTATAGGTTTAAGTTTGCAGCGTCAAGTGGTAATGAATGCGGCCGCCGTGGCTGGCGATGCCAATGCAGCCTATTGGGCTAAAGTGGGGGCAGATGGTGCCGTTAATGCTGCCACCTTGGCGGAAGCCATACAACAGCAACAGGCCCAAGCGCAGGCGCAACAACAGCAAAATGGCTATAACTTCACCACACTACAACATCAACAGCAACAACAGGAATTGTTGCAGCATCATCAACGTCTGGTGAATGGTACCGCTAATGGTGGTGGTGATAGTGCGGCCAGCGGTAATACGCCCAATCACTCACAGAGTCCCAATGAACAGGGTGAAGATTTAGTGATACGCCAGACATCACAGCAGCATCATCAACAACAGCAGCAGCAACAACAGCAACAGCAGCAACAACAACAGCAGCAGCAACATTCGCCCAATAATATGGTGGTTGTGAATTCATCTGCCTATGATGTCAAGACAACATCAGCTTTTACGCCCATTCCCACTGCACCGACCCATTTGCAAGCGGCCGCCTTGGCCCAACAGAGAGCACCTCCCGCTGCGGCGGCCTACATTTATCAGCAGAATGCCGCGGCAGCTGCGGGCTTCCCTACACAACTAATATCGCTACATCAAATACGTAACTATGCCCATCAACCGGGAGCAGCCGCAGCAGCTGGTCTGCTGGCCGGTGATCATCTATTGGGTCTAAGTGTGACTGCCGGTGCGGGCAAGGACAAAACACAATAGTATCATGCGAAGCAGGAGGATAATACAACAACAACAACAGTTACTAATGTAACTAAAACAACCACAGCAACAACTACTACTACCAATAAAAAGCACAAATCGTTTAATCAACAACAACAACCGCAACAATCCCTACCACCAACAATGACACTACAACAACATCTGCAGCAACAACAGCGTAAACAACAAGAATCACTTAATGCCTCCACTGTAGTAAGCTGATTTAAAAATTTTATTTGAAAAAATTAAAAATTTTAAATTTTTATTTTTTTTCGTCTTAATTTAGTAAAAAAAAGTTTTCTACTTTTTTTTTGAAAACTTTGAAACATGCATATAAATATATATTACTATTTTTCATTTTCTTATAATTAAAACAAAAAATAATAATAATTATAAACACAAAAGCAAATGTAGAATAACAACAAAAACATGTTAGTTTTATAGGTAAACAATTTGAAATTGTTTTTTTTTTATATATAGAAGCAAAGAAAAAAATATTTAAAATTTATAATAAACATAAACAGAAAAATATTAAGTAGATAGAAATTCTATATCCACCAAACACTTCCACACAAAACACCAGGTAAAACTATCTAGTATTCCAAAGTGGTTGTTTCAATTGTTTCGAAATAACAGGGAATATTAGCTACTTTTACCTTTTAACTAGAAACATTTTGTTTAGACCTTAAAACAAGAAAAGATTTTGAGGAGAAGCTAAAGTAAAGTTTAACAAAAAAAGAGGACTTTCAGTTTTTTAATAAGTAGTAGAAAAAAGTACTTTATTATTGTTGTTTTAAACAAAACAAAAATATTTAGATCTTTTCAACAAATTAACACTTTTTTAGCTTTATTTAAATTTCATAAAAGTACAATTTTTGCATAAAAAATTTAATTTAAACAAAATACATAATTTTTAACATATTTTTCACTACAAATTTCAAAACAGTAGTAAAAATACTACTTTTTTAAATTATGTTTTCTAAGTGAGAAAATGGCATTATCATGTTTATTTTAGAGAAATTTAACCAATTTCCACATTTTTAGCAAATTTTAGAAATATTTGTAAAAAAGTAGTAAAAACTAAAATTTTTGTGCTAAACTTGAAAAAAATTATAAAATATAGGTTCCTTTAATCCAGATTTTATGGATATTAGACAACAATTACAAAAAGTAGTAGAAATACTACTTTTTTATTTTTTGTCTAAATAAAATTATGCAATTTTGTATTTTTTCTTAAAAAACAAAATCATTTAAGTTTGGAATGAAATCTAAAAAGGTACTAGATATAGTACGTTTTAAACTTTTGCACCAAATTTGTAAATTGCAAAACAATTTCTAATATATTTTCCATACATTTGCCACTTATTTAAAAAATAGTAGTAAATACTACCTTTTTATATTGTAATTAATGTAAAAAATGTGTAAAAATAATTAAAAATCAATATGTTTAAGGAAATTTTAATTTTTTTGATGATTTTTAACAAGTTTTTACACAATTTAAAAATAATAGTAGAAAAAAGGTACGTTTTCTTATTTCTAGCCCTTTTTACAAAAATTGTGTGAAATCAATTAAAAATATTTTTTTTATGGAATTTATTTATTTTTGAGGATTTTTTACAAGTTTGCATACAATATAAAAATAGTAGTAGAAAAGTACCTTTTTCGTAATTTGAGTCCTATGGTTAATAATTGCAAACACTTGCTATTTGAAAGACAAATTAAATTGTTTAAAGTTATTTTAGCCAATTTTGTATATAATTTAAAAAGGTAGTAGATTTGGTACTATTTTTATTTATTAACAAATCACAAAACGTAGTAAAAATAAAAATTTTAGGGACATTTAAACTTATTTTTAAAGTTGTGAGCAGAATTTGATCAATTTAAAAATAGTAGTAAAAAGTACTTTTTTTATTTTGAGCCTTAGGGTATAAATTTGCGAATAATTGGAAGTTTGATGACTTATAAAGATGTTTCAAGTTATTTTAACATATTTTTTAACAATTTAAAAAAGTAGTAGATTTAGTACTACTATTTATTTATTAGCAAAAGGCAGGAACAATTATTGAAAAATATTTTTTGAATAAAGAAATGTTAAATTTAATGTATTAGATGATATTTAACAAGTTTGTATACGTTTTAAAAAAAAGTAGTAGAAAAAGTACTTTTTTAATTTTGGCTACCATGTACAAAAATTGCTTCAAAAACAATTGAAAATATATTTTTTAAGCAAATATAAATATTTTGTGGAGGTTTTACATATTTGTACACGATTTAAAAATAGTAGTAGAAAAAGTACTTTTTATTTTAAGCCTTAGGGTATAAAATTGCAAGTTGGATGATAATTCAAGCTGTTTTAAGTTATTTGAACATAGTTTTTTATTTAGTGGCAAATTTGCAGGAAAAATTATAATAACATATTTTTTGAGTAATAAAATGTTAAATTTATTGTGTTAAATGATGTTTAACAAGTTTGTAGACGATTTAAAAAAAGTAGTAGAAAAAGTACTTTTTTTAGTTTAGTGTCTTATGGCGGTGGGAAGATTTATTTAAACATTTTAAAGTGTTATTTGGAGTACTTTGCATACATTTAAAAAAAAAAGTAGTAGATTTACTACTATTTTTATTTGACAACATAATTGCACAAAAAAAATGAAAAAATACTTTTAGTTTGAGAGTTTTAAATAAATTTTAAAGTTTTTAGCAAAATTTGTTAAATATGAAAAGAGTAGTAGAATACTATTTTTTTTTAATTTGCTGTTTTAAGTTAAAAGTTTGCTTTAAAAATCTTTAAAGCCTAATAGCTTAGTTTCCTTTGCTCCAGAATCTTTTCTTGTTTTAACAAAAATATAAAATAATTCTTTGAAAAAAAAAAAATGATCTAAAACTCAGGTTTAACAAAATTTTAGGCGGAAAAAAAAAAATGCCAATAATTTCTAATGAAAAAGAAAAATCTTTATATTTTATAAGTCAAAATTCCAAATTTTAAACAAATCTTTTTAATAAATTCTTCTGTAAAGAATAGTTTATTAAAGACAATTGTTTAAAAACTTAAATGGAATCAAAATTTTGCCTTTCTTAAGGCTAAATCTGCTTTGTGGCTAAACTTATAAAAATTTTGAAATTTTTCTAAATTCTCAATAAACTTTCTTTATAAGAGTTAAAGTTCTTATGACTTTTATTCTAAACTTAAAAGGAGAGATTTGATTTGCACTCTCTTTTTCTCTCTAATTTCATTTAACATTCTCTCCTCTCTTAACTTATAATCAAGAAAATGTAGTTTAGTTCATATAAGTGAAACTCTCCCCCCCCCCTGGTATACTTTTATTCAAAATAGTACCAAGTACTATTTTGAATTAATCATAATATAATTTAATAATAATAATTTTTAGTAATTAAGATTTTAAAATTTCATTTTTTTATTATTTTATAATTTTTTAAATTTTAATCTAAAAACTCCAATTTATTTTATTATTGATTAATAAATTAATAAAAAGCTAAAAAAAATACAATAACATAAATTTTATTTTGTATTAAATATTACATACCTGGTCTTGTATGTACAATAATAAATAAAAACTTTTTACACAATAATAATTTTAAAACAACACAAAATTAAAATTAAATATTAAAATAAAAAAATAAAAAACAAAAACGATAAAGAAAAATTAAATTAATAATTTTAAATAAAAACCCCCACAAAAAAAAAAAAACAACAACATTAAACAGCAAAAAGAAAAAGTAATCATATTAAAAAAACAAAATAAAATAAAAAAAAAAAAAACAAATCAACAAAAAGTAAATAATTGAAAATTACAAATTTAAGTTTTAATACTTAATTTAATTAATAAAACATCAAACAAGTAATAATAATTTATATTCATATATCTTAAAAAACCAAGTAGATATAAATATATGTATATCTATGTAATATGTATTTAGTATATAAAAATAAAATAAAATATGTAAGCTATAAAATTATCGCTAATAAAAATTTCTTTAAAAGTATTTCATAAAAAAATAAAAAAAAACATTTTGTGGTTTCATTTGTCATTAATTTTTTAACAGATACTTAAGTACTTGTTTTTTTTTGGGTAAATTGGGGTTTTAATAAGTTTTTGTTATTACAAAGGCACATCGGTGTTATTAAACAAATCTTTACAAATTGTTTTTTTACCCCAAAAAACCCCATTGAGTGGTAATTACGCGATCCACAGTGGGGTAATTTCGAAATAAAAAACCCAAACATTTATAAGGCTTTATAGATCAGAACACCTACAATAGGGACGACGCATACACAATCTACACTGACGTTTCTACAACTTAAACTAACAATAGATTACAAAATGTCTCTTGATAACATATATGACAGAAAGGATTATCGTTTGATTATCAGTCTTGCATATAACCAGGATCTCTAGTTTAACCCCTATAAATCGAAATGTATTTTTAAATATATTCTATCGTGGACTTTGCTTCTGATAACTTTCAGATTGCCCAATATTTACACCTGCAACATCTACAGGTGAGAGAAAAAATACGATAATTATCATTTTCAGATCAGAACAGGTTTAGCTAAAGAAGGTACATTTCCTCTCGGAGACCATAAGATACATTGTGATTACTTTCAAAGAAAGTGAAGATGCAAAGACAGAGAAACTAACAAGCAAAAACACTATGAGAAAACAAGAAGGAAATAAGATAGATAGAGATGATAGATGAATGGAAACAGATCTATTCTCAAGGGATTTCAAACCAAAAACTTAAGAAAGTTAATACCCTAATGAAGGAAAGAAATGAGATATAATCTAAGTCCCCCCATTAAAACCCAGTCAAAGAAATGACTAATTCCCTTGATAAATGGTGGAAAATATGGAACCTTTTCCCTAGCAATTTCAGCCTGAGATTTTGTATTCTAGGACAGTGGCTAATTATATGCTCGATCGTCTCTTGCAATAATATTACTGTCCCACTTACTGACAAAGGCCCTAACTGACTCACTTACTGGCAATGCCTCGTTAGCATCCCTCTAAGAATCTTTAGACTGCTTATATACAGTCGTATAATTATTTTGGTAGCTCTCATAACAATTGCTGGCCATAAGG